GGGGGGAGGAGGCGCGCCCGGGAGGGGGTAAGGTGCGGGATGAGGGGATCCCCTCCCTGCGGGTCGGGGTATGGGGACAGATGGATCCAGGGCAGAGCGCAGGATGCCCGTCCGTCCCTCCTCGGTGAGGGGGAAGGAGCGGACAGGGAAGTGTTGGTGCTCACCTGGCTCAGCCACTTTCATGAATGAACAGACTTCTTTTTTTTTTTCAAATTTCTCAACCGCAGAAAGTCGGGGAGCCTTTCTGAGCCTGCAACAACTGAGATGCTATGTTGAAATATATTATGTCTTGATGGCATGTCTCAGGTTTGCAGGAGCGTTTTGTAATCTTCCTGGTGTCATTTCTCTCCAGGGTATTCTACAACGGAGAGTGCAAGTTCCTGTGGTGTTGTAACTTTGTCGCACTGTGTACACATGACAATACAGTGCTGACTTCACTGTGATGTATTCGTTAGTATCAGTGATGTAAGGCTGGTATTTGTTCTGATGAAAAGCTCAGGAAAGTATCAGTTTCTTCATGCACTCTGGAGTCTAGGTTCCTTTAAATCAGAAGGATCAATTATAATTAACTGCAAAATAACTAGGGCTGTGGGCTAGCCTTGTATTTCTGACTTGCTGCCCCATCTCTGAACAAGCTTTTGCTGTGGAACATAATCATAATGTTCCGGTTTAAAATGATTATTCAAAACAACAGAAGAATATTTTTCTGGTACCAATTAGTTCATAATTTAATCAGTAATTTACCTTTTAAAAGGTTACTATGATTTGTTACTTGTTAACTAAAAAGTTCCCTGTGTACACCAACTATGACATGATACTCAGTGCTCTTCTTTGAAAAGAAGGTTCATATATTATGCTCCCATTAACATCAGGATTTGTTGCATGAAGTCATGTGTTTGACATCATTATTCTTTCTGGCTGTCACAAAAAAAGAAATTGCTGCAAAAATTGCTTAGAGATTTAATTATGAGATTATACGAAATCACTCTTAGCAGTGTGTTAAGGCATGTGGTACAATATAAGCATGGACTTGTCAAGGGGAGAGAGAGTTGAAAAAAGACTTGGCATGGACTTTGAATGATAACCAATCAGAAATATAATTTAAAAGTATTTTTATACAGGCAGCTTTTGAATTTGAATGTTCTTCGACATCGGTTTTGTAAAATAGCTCATTAATTGTTAGAGGTTCAGAGATTATATATCTGTAAACAGCCTTAAGATAGTATGTATTTCTTAGAAATTCCTCAATGTCAAATTCCTAGATAATCCAACTTATTAAACATCAGCATTCAATGAAACTTCCGTTACAATACAGACTATACAAATAATTATTTTTCTCCTGATATAAATTTGTATTTCATATGATAAATTATCACAAAAAATGAAGGGGGCAAAATATTAGAGTTTAGTTGAAGAATTCTGAAGCTATGCCTTTTAACCTTCCTTGTGGTACTTTTAAAAACACCGACTATCAGCACTGCTTCTAAATCTGACCGTTCTCGGAACTTTTTTAAACAACCATAAGTCCTTTTCTGAGTCAATAAAATAAAATTAGGCCCAGCTTCAATTACTGTCAGTATAATTTTCTACTTATAGCAATAGTTAATAAAATGAATTTTTCAAAAACCTATGTTGTAAAAACAAGGCAAAGTTTAAAAGTAGAACAAAAACTCTGTCTTGTACAAAGCTGAACTAAGTAATGAAAAGTCCACTTAACGTTTTTCTTCATCTCGATTGCGGAGGCCCTCTTTCATTTATTTTTTATTTTTTTTCACATATAATCTGCTCAGAATGGTGTTGAATATATTTACTAGCCATTTTTTTGGTAGCCTAATTGTGAATCGCTGTGTGATATTCAAAATCTGTTTCCTTTACTAGCTTTTGTAACTAGAATTATTCCTGTATTCTCCTCTAGCATACAGTAAAACAGTTTCCAGTGTGGTTACTCAAGAGAAATTAAATACAATTATAAATTCCCCATGCTAGGTTTTTTTGAAGTCATGGATACAATACTTCCCATTAGTTATTGCTACTGGTTTCATTTTTTAATCACTGGTAGACTTACTGAATTTAGCACTATATTAGATGTTGAGTGCTAATTATTCCATGCTGTATTTCCATAATGATCTATATTTTTTTTAACAGCAGGGATCTATTTTTCCGGTACTACATACCAAATTTTCTTTGTCTGTCAGTTAACTTTTTGTGAACTAATGAAAGACAAAGTTAGAAATAATCCAAAGCCAGAGAACATTGTTATACTCAAGTCCTACATACCCATGCCACAAACAGAAGTTGGGGTTTCCCATTAACAGGTCAGTTCTTGAGGATTTAATTTAATTGTTACAGAGTACTTGGGAAAAAATCTCCCCCTCACTCCTTTTTTTTTTTCCCTGTGGGGACTTTTCCAAGGCAGAATGAAAAATGAAAGAGCCATAAGATTTGTCTTCAGATATTTAGATTCCCAGGAATATGAAATGCAAATTGATTCCTACATTAACTGATAAACCTCTTGCATTTCTTTTGTCCTTCCCCGCGCCGCCCCCGGCCCTTGGTTTTTTATATGAAGGGTAGTCCATCTTTTTTCAGTTGTGCTCTCTTTCAGGTTCTGGTGAAAAAGTATGTAGAAAATGCAATTGCTAAGCAAATTGTTACCCTAGTACTAGCACCTGTGGTGAGTGGGGCTTGGGATACTTTCAGATCTCGCAGGTATGAAGAGATATGAAGGAGAAAATACATGTGGCAACCATAGGCAAGACCAAGTTTCTACTTCAGCATCAGGTCTTCATCTTCTGCAATCTCCATAACTAAAAACTTTCGCAGAACTGAAGTCAAGTTGATGAGGTTCACATTTTTCTCCCCCTCCACCCACACCTTGCATTATATTATTTGGCCTGTTTGTCCTCTCCTCAACCACTCTATAGAATTGAACTAAGCATTACATCATTCTCCAATTAAAATTCATAATACATTAACTGTATAGATATTTTTAATTACCTGTGTTGCAGTAGTACCTAGCAGCCGAGTCAAGACTGAAGCCATCTTGTTACTTACTCAAATGGAAAGGTTGTTCCTGTCCTTAATACTATGTGATCTATGACATGACAATGCAAATAGTTACAAATTTACAACGGAGACACAATGTAGGAATGAGATTGATGCAAAAATTTTAATTTAACATTTCAGGGTGTTTATTTATGCTTACAACAGTAATAGATTCTTACAATGGTTATAGGTTCTAATCTGCATCATGACAAATACAAAAAAGTTAGGTACCAGTGTGATATTGAATCCCCAGATTTACAGAAAAAACCCCCTCAGCATGGAAGCAGCACCCTATTCACCAAACACAGCTGTTCTTACTTGGCAGTTTCACTGGATTTCACTGCAAACAGGAAAAATACCCTGCTTAGAAAGGGGAAGATAACTGACTCCTCAAAAGCAGAGTTGGGAACTTCTGGAGTCAACTAGCAGATGATGCTTTGTGGACTTGCATAAGCCACCCCCTTCCCTCATGACTAAGCAGATCACCTCCATGCCATGCAGTCTGCACATTCAGGACAAAGTCTATGAATTCAAGTCTATGAATCCCAAAGTCTACTCTGCTGGTTGATAATTAGCAATTTAAAAAAACACAAAGCTTACATAGCTGTGTGTGTATGTATGTTCAGGCACAGGTATGCTTGATGAATGCTAAGATGAGCATATGTGTATGGTTATGTACATACTTGGAAGAGATAAGTGTGTGTAGGTAATGTATTAACCCTACGTTATAAAATGACTTCCTACTTATCTCAGTAATGCTGGAAGGCTATATATAACATCTGATAACACAGTATCATAAATATTGGATAATATCCCAATAGAGAAACATACAGAACATTCCACAGTATCAAAAAAATATGATGTTGGTTTTTTGGAAGATGCATAGAGTCTAGGGAAAAAAAAAACATCTCAGTTTCTCTCAGGTCAGTGGCAGTTGTGCTGTTGCAGTAGCATCAGGTTTGCAATCTGCCTGCGGTGTTAGAAATCCTGGCCTAGGTACGGCTCCATTCCCTGCCGTTGCTGTTGAGGTCAGGCTGTGGTTTTAGTATATTGAAAATATAGAGTCCAACTCTGCATGGATTGCTGTTTGCTCAGTGAGACTAAAAGTCTGAAGTTAAATAACCATTAATATATATTATAGCAAAAGTCCTACCTATTTTTCTTTAAATTATTTTGAAAATGCCATTGTAACAGAAGTACTATATCCATCTGCCTTTGTTCTGGAATTTGTGATCAATTTCTTAACGTATTTTAACTCTAAATGAAATACTAACATTTTGATGCAGGCATTGCAGTTGGTATTAGTTTATTCTACACCTTCAAATTAGACATGAGTTCTAGTTTTAATCTTATAACAGCTATTATGGGAGGGAAATATTATATTTTGTGCTGGTTTACAGGTTATTGGAATTTCACAAGCTCCATGGGGACTCATGTCTTTCCTCTTTATCACAAATCTGGTATTTTAGATTCCCTTTTGCCAGAATCCTGTACTTTTTTTGTAGGAGACCTCCAGCTATGATTTCTCTAACTTACCTGTGTGTGTGTATAAAATTCTAATTATGTTCTTTACATACAAACACTTTCAGCTGCCATGGAATAGGCACATAGAAAAAGAGAGAGTGATGGAAGTTTTCTTACAGCACCTTGTATTTTTCCGCTGAGTTTAAGCAAATTGCTTTTCAGAGAATTACATATTTGCAGAAAGTAGCCCTGCCCAGAATTATGATCTTGTCTTAAACTTTTTACACAATATGTGATTACGCTGCATTGCATAAAATAGGATTTTATGTTATAATATTGCATTATAAGTCCATAGTACTTGTGTGTTTGTTTAGATTTATTGAACACAGATGTTGTGTAACTGCTGTAACTCTTCATGATTGTGTAGCAGCAATTTTGAAGTTTGAGAGGCTTTGAACTTAGGTTGCTCTCTATATACAAATAGAATGATGTCCATTCTCAATATTTATGCTAGGGGAATATTTTAGTATTGCTGTGAAATAAGTTCTCAACCATGATGGTTTGAAGCATATGTCAGACAACCAAAATAGTCACTCTGTTACACCGAAAAAAGGAACTATGAAAAGAAAAATGTTAATTACAGGCTTTAACACTCACACCAAGATCTTCTAGTAGGGGTGGTCAGAAAAACAGGTTTTACTACCTCGACCTGGTGCTTTGTGGTGCTATCTAATATGGGGGCTTGTGGAAAAATGCAGCCACTTCTATTTACTGCCTTCCATAATG